TAATCAAACCAACAAAACCGATCGACCGAACCGAGGTCGGTCGGCCACTGAATTTGAGTCGGCTTGTCGGTTTTCTGCAAGCAGAAACCGACCTGGTCGGTTCGGCGGGGGTTTTGGCCAAAAACCGACCCGCCCGACCGATGCTCACCCCTACTTGGGAGAATCAATACTATGGATCCTGATTGTATCCAGAAGCATTATACTTCCTATTCTTCCTATTTGGGTCCTCAACTGTGTGTTCTTTGCAAACAAGACTCTGAGAGTCTTGATCACATCTTATGGCAATGTAATTTTGCCCAGAAGATTTGGAACCGGTTCTTTGAGATGTTCTAAGTTTCTTGGGCCTGGAATAGAGACTAGGGGGCTATGGTGGAGGAAGTGCTCTTGGCTTCTCCTTTCATTCAGTATTTCTTCTTCTTTCCACCCAGTATTCATTTCCATTGTATTTCGATTCTTCCACTGCTCCAATGCTACTACAGAAGGTAAGGTCTTCAGGTTTTAGTCTAGTTCTTTTACTTTTCTTCTTTGTTCTTTTTATTCTTCTTCCTCCAAATAGTATTCCTCATCTTCATTTTTCGACTCTTTCTTTTACTGTTCATCTTCCGACTATTCTGCCTTTTTGACATGTGTCCGACACCAATATTCAGCCCTTTTTTACACGTCTGTGCTTCCTAGGATTAGTTAGATAGGTGTTTTCTTTAAACCATTAATTTATCTATGTATTTACTGCTGTAAAACTAAAGTTACAGCTAGTAAGTAGGCAAAGTCTAGCTTCGACTTTTACTTCACACCAAGCCTAAGCCATGCCTTATAGCCTAAATAGGCAACCTTGTATTTACTTCGACAAAACTTTTGAGTAATAAAAATCATTCTAGTTCGCCTACACCAGAAGTGCAAAACAAATGAATAGCTAATTGAAGTAAAAAAATAAAAATAAATAAAAAAAGCAACATTTGAACTAGGAACGTTGGACTAGAAAACAACACCATGAATCATGCACAAGTACTCTGCAGTGGAGTATAACAATATGAAGCATTGGGTCACTTGTCACATCAGACCAAAAATAGTAGGGAATTGAATTATATATTGGATAAAAGATAATTTGTACAAATGTTTAAAACAATTTCCTGGAGAGACTAACTAATAAATCTTATATTAAATGATCCTACCCCTACCCAGAGAAGAAAAACACACAAACACAAACAATAGGGAGAAGATAGAGGACTGCAGAAATATTAGAGGCCTAAAAACTACATTAGGTACGTGTACCCTATACAAGGTTGAATGACCAAATAGACACATAAGATATAGCTATGAAAATAATGATGATGAAAAATGCCCCAAAGCTATCACACTTTGAAGCTCAATTAAAGAAAAATACCAACCATTTATCCGATAACGTTGCTCCAAAATTTCTTTTTTATGTTCTTCGAAAACCTCATTCACAGTCTGCTCAATTTCTTCAACTGAAACTTCTATGCCTGCATGGGCATAAAATCAGGGTATCAACTTATATAACCAAAGGATAAGTAAATACTCCTATTAAAAGCTCTAACTATCCAGCACTAGCACAACTACATTATAAAAGAATGCACGCCTTTCCAGTTAGATTAAACATGACAAAGCAGGTACCTTTTGAATCACGCACTATATAGAAAAAACTAAAGCACAAAAAATAAGGAGCTAGACACTTGAAAGAGTCCAACTTATGCCAAGCCAAATGAAAAGTAATATTATCATACCAACACCACATGCATCTTCAAACTCATTTAATTTAACATCTTCTTGGCCTGAAGCAGACAAAAATGAAAACGCTGCTTCTAATTGAGCTGCCATCTTTATCTGCAAAGCAACATAAGATATTAAACAATCACGTATTGTTGTATTATTACAATCTTGCAACTTGCTAAGAAACAAAAAGTTCAAGGAATGACACAATAAGAAGGTAATTCCAGGATATTCGATATGGTTGTTTCTTTAAGGAGTCTTCATATGAAAACCTTATTTGAGATGATATATTGCAGCAATATCGGTCGATGAACAAGAGCATTTGCTGGATACTTGGTAGCAACCTGACAGAAATGCAACGTCATGCTATTAAATAATTCGGAGAAAAATATTTCCTTCAGAAGAAGGAAAGCAATAAAAATTAGTGCTTATAATCGAGTATTTGTAGAAGCATTGAATTATTTGGAAATCTTACAGTATACAGGAGATTTCCAACAGCCCTGCTGCATCCATCAAGCACACCAGCCTGAAAAATGAAGGATGACGAGCGATGAAAAACAAACATTTATTAATTTGTGCACGTGAATTATATACGACCTCAGAGCTCCATTACGTCAAATCTGAAGAACGTATAGCAGAATTATCAAGGTAAATAAAAACAATGAATCCACCACGTCAACTACTATTCATAATGTGCATTTAATCTCGCCTTCCTTCCTTCCTTTTCTTTATATATTAGTTCACTTTTTTCTTCACTAGAATCACTTGGAATTGAAAAGAAACTAAGAGGGATGAGAAAAAGTGAGAATACCTCATGAACAACAGCATTGAGATTGGAAGTGACTTTATTGTTGGCAATGGTGTTTCGTGCAGTGCGTTCATCCAATCCAATTCTCAAAAACTGCTCCAGTAGCTTGTCCTTGTCAACGTTGTCATTCTTCATCGTCATTTGAGCTTAGAATGGAATGAAAATGGAGTTGGATGAATTGGGAGCAAGTGAGGAAGAAGGAAGGAGAAGAGTGATATATGGAGAAAATACCTAACAAAACCAATGGAATGAGAAGGAATCAGTTGAGCTAAAACCATGAGGTAAAATATTCAGGCGTTAGATTCAAAGCACTGGGTGCTTTAACTAGGGGTAAAAGTTTATCAGTTCGATTCGGTTTTTGGACAGAGAGGAAAAACCAGATTCGGTTCAGTTGACCAGGTGCGAAAACCGAACTGTACTTCGATAGTCTTTTTTTTTCACCACTACCTCTTCTATTCCACATTGATTTGAGAAAAACAAAAAACTTGTGAAATTGTGATGGCTTCAACCTTATTTCCAACAAACCTAATATATACTTTTGCAACAACATTCATAAAGTGATCGCATTCCATCTATTTTTGAAGTTTAGAAGTTTGTGCCTACAAATTAAAACATACTCAAAGAGATTCTAAATACCTTTTTCAATGCTGAGAGTGTTCAAGGAACCTCCAGGTCGTAAGAAGATGTGAACAAACGCCCAAACAAATGTTAAAGCAACTTTCTCATATTTTTTTTAAATAAAAACCAACATGAGATTACAGAGATTACAGATCAATTTTGACAAGTTCCAGCGGATTACAGAGATTACAAAAACACATCAAAGGATCTCCGAGTCCAAGGTTTGAATTTCTTAATTTTAGGTTTATTTTGAAACCCAAAAAGGAAAAATTGATTTTTGGACTATTCAGAAAATAATTTTCGGAAAGTTTATCTTCTATTTCACTCAATTCAAAATTTGTATACTTTCCTTAGCCCGATACTCACCCATTCAACAACTTTCACACACTAAGTCCTCCAACATGCTTTCTAATCCATGTCCCATGCATCAAACCACTCACAAAAATCCAACATGCGACGTATGACACAATATTCATCTCATAACAGTCCAGCATGTTTCCAGAACCAGAATATATATATTTGGCAAAGGAAAACGCAACCAACGATATGACCATCATATGTCCAGCATGCTTCAACGCAACAAGCTTCTCATAAATATTCACTATGCTTTACCAACACAAACAAGCAAGCAACAGAGCGACAACATAACTGTTAATCTCTAAGAAGTAAATCCGATTACAATACATAAACAAAGCCACACCGCCGCTGAACGCCGGAGAAGGGCTGTGCCGCCACAGATTCGGGTTCGTTGGAGAACGCCCGCGCCGCCAATCGCACGTAGCCAACGGATCTGCTCGTGAGCCACCGTCGTGGGTGTTCGCTGAGGAGCTTCGTCGCCGTTTCAATCGGCCGGAGGACACCGCGCTGCTGCCGTCGAGTCGTCGGAGGGATACCGCCGCCAGAGAAGAAAACTCGGGGGAAGGCGGCTGCCAAGGGAGGGAAAGGGAGAGGGGAAAAGGCTAGGGTTTCGTTTTCTTTTTTATTTATTTCATTTTCAATTTTATTTTCCAAAAGAGAAGAATATAACAAATAAAATAAGGTTCGTTTATCTTATTAATAAAAGGGATCAAATCCTAATTTTTTGTTTTCTTTTTTAAATGGAAACCACCCATAAAATGATGGAAATTTTGGTTGAAGAGCCCTTTTACAAAAGTAGTATTGTTTTTTACCCACTTTTTTCAAAATCTACGTTTTCTAATTTTTACTGACATCATCTTTGATATCAAATTATTTTTACTACCCCTCTACTCATTTTTAGATTTCCCTCTTGTTCTCTCTCCCTCTTTTTCCATATCTTCAAAAAGCATCATTCTTCCTCTCTTCTCATTTTTGTTTTCTTCTCTCTCATTCTCGTTCAATTTTTTCTCAAAACCTCAATTAAATTGATAGACACACTTTCTCTCTCTAAAATATAATTTATGTTGATACAGAAATTTGGCATCTTATGATTCTGCCAAATTTGCACCAATCTTCTATAATAAAAAGGATCAACGAGACTGCAAAACAGAATAACATTAAAGACCGGTGTAGCTCTTGCCACACAGGCTCCGATGCTTAAGTCAGAATTGGAGTAGTTGAGTATAAACTGTAGAGTGTTGTGAGCATCTCTTTAGGTTTGGTTTACTTCCCTATTTATAAGAGTTGAATTATGATCCCTCTAGCGATTGTGGAATTCGAATCCTGATGCATCTAGGAAATCTGGTTATCTGAATCTGAGGAGAATCTTGAAGCCATCAAGATATATCTTCCATTTTGAATTCCTCAGGAGCATTTGAATTGTAGAAATAGGGATTTTTTTCATTCATAACAATAGTTCTCACTCTCAAAGTTAAAGATTGTCAAAGTTCTACTTTGAGAGTATTTTGTCGTTCATGGCTTGACTATTTTTGTGAAATAGCCTATTTTTGGTCGCCGTTAATTATGATGACTTTTCTAACCTCCATTATCTTTTGTTGTAGTTGGCTACCATCAAGTCTCTTAACATTGAGAGTATTTATCGTTATCAGTTGTCGTTTTTATGGGCTGACCTGTTATAGCCCTCATACCCTTTTGTCGTGGTTAGTTGTAGTCAAGTCTCTTGGCTTACTCTTGGGTTTCCAACCTATGGGCTGGCTGTCATAGCCCCATGTTGTAGTTGGCTGCAATTTTAACCGTTAGATTTTGGCATTGGGATCTAACTTTCAACAGGGCCAGTGGTACCTCATTTCGGTTTCTAACCTCTTTGGCTTGTGCCCAAGTTTTATACCTCAGGTTTACTCTCGAGTTTCTAACTCATTTGGCTTTTTTCAATGACTTTTACACCCTTTGTTTAGTCGACACCCAACACCCTCGAGTATCTAACCTGTTTTAGCTTTTGCCACATGGTTTTTTACACGTGGGTTTCATTGATTGGTTAGGCTTGCCAACATTATGTTTTAACCTTGCTGGGCCGCATGCCTTTTTTAGCACATCGAGATTATTTTCCCTGGTTTCACTGATTGGCTTTTAGTTTATCGGCTTGCTTCTTAGGTCTGTCCCTGTTCGAGTTCCTTGATCAGCTATTGATTCACTTACCCATGCCCCCTACTTGAATGATTTTCATTTCGAGTAAAAAATAAACGCTCAAGTAGTAAAGATGTAATTATATTTTAGATGTCAAAAGTCTTATTCATAATATATAAAAGAGATATTTACTCAAGTAACAAGTAATTAATTAAATTTCAGACGCTTAAATATCTTTGGAAGTATAGTTACCAAAAAATCAGTCATAAATTATGCGATCTACTAAATATGCGGTTACCATAAAATTAAACCTAAACTCTTTGTAATCATAAACAACTAGAATTACGCAGCAAACTTACCATCATTTGAAGTAGAAACTCTGTATGTTAACCAATTGCTTTTTCTTTTCTGTAATTTGTTGACTCGTTTATCCCAGAGTTTGTTTTGGAATCTGTCGATTTATCTCATCCAAGATCTGTCATGGGATTTGTTCGTTCGTTCGTTTTGGGATTCGTCGATTTGTTGACTCATTGATTTTTTTTTTCGGCTACCTCAGGTAGGGGAAGCCCCCGAGTCGTATGACATTAGTCGTTAGAAAGTTGTGGTATGTCTCTAGAATACATGTCAATTCGTTTCTCCCGAGATCTCCTTGGATCTAATTAGTTCTCGGTCAATTCGTACGGCGCCAATTGTTGATGCATAAATTTGGCCTCCTAGGATTCCGCCAAATTTGCACCAATCTTTTATAATAAAAGGGATCGACGAGACCTGCAAAATAGAATAGCATTAAAGATCGGTGTTGCTCTTGCCACACAGGCTCTGATGCTTAAGTCAGAATCGGAGTAGTTGAGTATAAATTGTAAAATGTTGTGAGCATTTTTTTTAGGCTTGCTTTACTTCTCTATTTATAGGAGTTGAATCTTGATCCCTCTAGGAATTGTGGAATTCGAATCCTGACACACTTTCATAGACATAGAGAAATAATGGGAATTCGAATTGTAGAAATAGAGATTTTCTCATCCATAACAATTTAGAATAAAACAAAAACTCAATTAGTTTTATAGACACGCTTTCTCTCTCTAAAAAATAAGATTTATAATGGAACAAAAACTCAATTAATTTCATAGACGCACTTTCTCTCTCTCTAAAAATAAGACCGTCTGAGAGCGAGATCCTATCGTGGGCACCTCCGTTTTCCTTTTATTGGCCGCCGACCGCTTCGCCGTTTTCCTCTCGTTCTCAATCTTGCTCAAAATCTCTACTCTCGCTCCCGATCTCACTCACGATCATATCCGACTAATATGCAGAGACTTAGAGAGAGAGGTTTGAGGAAGATCTAGATTTTTTAGAGGGAGTGTGAGAAAGAGACAGTGAAGGGTGCGAAGAAGAGAGAAAAATATTGGGCGTGGAGTGAGAGGGTGTGAGAAAGCAAGGAAACCCTATTTTTAGAGAGAGAGAAAGAGGTGGTAAGGAAATGAGAGGAAAATTAATTTTGATTATTGAAAAAATCGAGAGAGAAATAGGGAAAAACAAAATAATAATAATTAAATTAATTTTTTTTCTCACCTCTTTCATCTTCCTCTCGATCTCCCTCATCTTCTTCTCGCTCTCTCTCCTCTCTTTCCTCCCTCCTCTTCCTTTCTTCCTTTCTTCCCCTCTCCTCTCCCCCCTCTCCCTCCTCTATTACCTTCTGTTAGTAAAAAAAAAAAGAGAAGAAAGGGAGAAATCCAAAAAACAAAAATAGAAGAATGAGATAAAAATATTCATATGTTGCAGAAAAGAAAAGAAAACAAGGAAGATGAAGAATGAGTTAATGGAAAATAAGTGGAAGAAAAAAAAATCTGGAAAAAGAGGAGAGGGAAATAGAGAGAGTGCAAAAATTTGGTATCAAAGATGATGTCAACAAATATTAGAAAACATAAGTTTTAAAAAAGTGTGAGTAAAAAACAATATTGCCTGGTAAAAGAGCTATTCAACCCAAAAAGGATTGCTGAAATATTAACTTAATTTTTAAAATCCAGTGATAAAATTCAAAAAGAGAAATTAAATTTTCAAAAATTTGGATTAAGATTTAATTAAAAACCTATTTCTAAAATTCGAAATCTTAATTTATCTTAATCTAACGAAATTAAACTAAATTTTAATTTAAATCCTAACTTACCCAAAATTAGAACTCTAAAACTTTAAAAATCCAAGAATGTAATTTATCCAAGGAGAAGACCAAAGGCACAACCTGAATATTAAAATAATTTATCGTTCTCGTTTATTGTTTTTTGTTCTTGTTTCTCATTTTTTGAGAAACAGACATGTTTGGTAATCAATCCTGTTTCTCGTTTCTAAATTTTGAGAAACATTTTAAAAACGGGACCAATTTTTTGAAACTACGAAAAGTAGTTTCGTTTTTTCTATTTTTATTTCTTTATTTTGTGTCCAGGAGTTTGACCCCTAAGGTATGCAACTTACTATTTTTTTTTTGTTCTTTTTTTTATATTTTATATTTTTTAATCGAAAATGTTTTGAAATTTTATTTTGATTTAAAATTATTATATTTTCTTAAACAAAAAATATCTTATTTTTTAAATAAAAAATATTTTACTATTTTACTATTTTTTTCTTCTTTTATATTTTATATTTTTATAATCTAAAATGTTTTGAAATTTTATTTTGATTTAAAATTTAATTCTTTATTTAAACTAATAATTGTTACTTTTATATCAAAAACAAGTTTATATTGTAAATTATATTTTATTAAACTTGTAAATTATATTTTATTTAATAAATTATAAATTTATTTTCTTATGTTTTATTTTTTTTAACTTAAAATATTTTGACAATTTATTTTTTATTTAAACTTATTATATTTTATTAAACAAAACATTTCTATTTTAAAATTAAAAATTTGAAATTTTATTMTTTATTTAAGTTAATAATGGATACTTTTATACCAAATAAATTTATATTCTAAATTATATTTTCTTTAATAAATATTATTCTTTTCATATTATTTAATTAAAAATAATATGAAATTTTATTTTTTTATTTAATTAAAATAAAATTTCATATTTTATTTACTAAATTTTATTTAATTAAAAAAATAGAAGCGAGAAATAGTTATAAACACATTTCTATTTCTTTTTTCCAAGAAACAAAAAACGTTTGTGAGGAAAACCATTTTTTTGGATGGAAGAGAGAGAGAGGAAGGAAACTAGAATTGATTTTCATATTTCTCGAGAGAGGGAAGGGCAATTTGTGTCTTTTGACATTCTTGTTGAGAGGGAAGGGCAGCCCTAACCCTCCCTCCATTCCCATCATATTCCATCGCCTCAACCGCCCAATTAATTAATTAATTCAGTTCCCATCTTGAAGTTATGTTAAAATGGTTTATGTTCCACGAAGATAATAATAAATAAAATTCTCTTTGAAATCATTTTTTCTTTGTAGGGATTGTCTTCAACTTTAGAAATAATTTAACATTATTTCAATCCAAATCCCAGGAGCAAATAAAAGGAAGAGAAAACAGATTCATTATGACTGGACTACATTTCACAAGGAAATAGACCGGGTAAAGTCTCGGTTTATTGCAACGTCTCGACTTATTATTTCTTTAGAAAAGAAAAGTCTGGTCATCCAATGTAAAAATGAAAACAAAATAAAATTTAGAAAAGAACAAAGGACAAAACTTCACAGTCTTTACGGGCAACATTGCTTAGGTTCTTATAATGAAAGGTGATTATGACTATAGCATAATTAAAACTTAGACTAATAAAGTTGTCTATTTCTTAATTTACGAAGTGGGCAAGCAAATGTGCTCATCGCCGGCCACCAGCTTTTCTCACAGGAGCTGCGTCCTCTTCGTCGGACTGAATGTCTCCGTATTGCCACATCCCTCGCCGATCTGTCCGTGCTTCCTCTTGGAATCCTTCTAAACTTCCAAACGCAGCTTGTCTTTCCTTGGATTCCCACTTTTTCCTTTTCTCTAGTCTAGCAAGTCCTTCCTGAAAATCCCAAATGGCAGAAAAACGTATAAGCAAATACGATGTTAACTGGGCCATACATCTAAACTAAAGTCCCCTCTAATCAAACAAACGGAAAACACCCCATAGGATCCAAAAGAGAACAGCACTTCCTCATACTACATGATGAAAATGCAAACTTCTCTTATATACGAACAGAGGAAATCAATCAAATTGGGAGAAGGCAATTATTCGAACCTGAAGCATCAAACCATTTAAACTAAGCTCTGACCCGACAGCAACAAGAGACACATTAAGAATATTCCCAGTACCCTGCCCTTTAACTTTTCCACCAGAAGTATCTCTGTCTTCAATTGTGGCCATGAACTCCTTTGCGCCATTAAGCATGTAATCACTCAGATACTCAGCTGCTTCTTGACCAAAATCCTCATCCAAACCGGGAACCTTGATGTGAGCAAGACTACACAGCTGGGCAAGACCAGGGGCAGAAGATACAGAAGGATYGAGTGGCCGAAGTCTACCATAAGGAACAGCCTCTTGATTTCCAAAATCTATGTAGAACACTTCGAACATATCTTTCACTGATTCAACAGCCCCTCGAGGTGTATTGATGATCTATAACAAAATTTGGAAAAGATTCAGAAGAAAGCAAACAAAAGACAGCCTAAAGGAAATTCCTGCTTGTGCGATAATATAGCCTCCATAAGCCATGGAGAACTATTCCATTCAACAGACTTCACAAAAAAAAAGGGTATTCATACAATAAGTAGGAGCACTGATTACTTTTAGGTGTCTCGCATTGCTGCAGCCTGCAAATTAAAGATCGATCTTACTGGAAAAATAGTGGTCACTTGTTCATTTTCTAATTAGACCGATTGGAATCTTGGTCCATTATAAATACAGCTCAAACATACCAGGACGCTTTCCCTCTACTACTAAAAAGGAGAAAAGCTATCTTAAATACTGTTGAGGAGTGAGTGAAGGTGAACAAGAATTCGTTATGGAGTCTAGTAAACGAAATGGAAGAAAGCCAAACTAGGATGTAGTTACTTTTTTTATTTCTTTCTTTCCTCCTTTTTTTATTTTGTATAGGAAGCTAGGAGAACTTCATTAGAAACAACAAAACTACAAAAAGAACGATAAGGAATGAACGATAAGGAATCAACCTCAAAGGGATCATAAGTTGCTCCAATTGGCATTAATAATAAAATAAGAAAAAAAGGAAAAAGAGCCATAGTTTTACAGAAAATTATGAGCTAAGAAAGACTTGAATTGAATGAACTAGATTTCTACTTCCCCTCTAAAAGGGAACTGCAGAAAATCAGGTGATTTCTTTGTAGCCAAACTTCCCAAATTAAGGCCTCTGTAACATCATTCCCACAACACCTTTGCATTCTGCTTGGAAACATGAAGGGTGTGTTGGGAAGTGGTGATATAATTAGTGATTTTGAAAAAAGAGATTTAACTATAATTGATTTAGTAAAATTACCATTATATCTTAAAAATCAATTTAAAGTGATTTTAAACTTTCATAAAATCAATTTAAAGTGATTTTAAACTTTCCTAAAATCAATTTCTGAATTTGCCAAACATGATCAATGGAAACACTCCTGAACATACCCAAACACTAAGCAGCAGCTATTAGAGGCCTTCAAAAATAGAAAAACGAGGTACACATACAGAGAAAATTGAATATATATATAGCAGTAGCCATCAAGATTCTGGGTAGTTCAACAGTGAGAGGAACACATGATTTCGAGACTCCAGCAAACTAGGAAATAGTTCAAGGCCTCAGAGATTTTAGAACACCAAAAACATTTATACTAACTACACGAACACAGGACAATGACTTACTAAAAAGACTCTTGCCACCATCCTAGGTCACACTCAACAACAAATTCATTGTTCTTCCTAATCTCTAAGCACACTAAAGAGAGAACAGTATTCTGCAAAAGTCTAAACCTAAGGTCTATTCCCACAGTACACACCATGTCTATTCATCTAAGTAACACCAAAAGAATAAAATAATTTTAAATAATTTGCACAGAAATCCCGAAAGGCAAGCTGCTATCATCAAAGCAGTGCACTTGCAAATTGATTTTTAGAATTACTCGGACTCTCAGACTCTATAACTTCACCAAAACTCGTGGAATAGTTTATATCTTGGGTATATGAACATATTAGATTTTGAACTCAATAAAGTAAATGAATTTGTCGCTACACTGATCACATTACTCAATCTAATAGCTATCAGTCGGTAGGATGACTATGCATAAAATATAAATGTAAAGAGAGGATTCATATTGGATGTAAAAGAAAGGTATCTTCCTAACACTCACCATTGCCCTGTTCCACGAATTGTCTGCACTAAATTGAGCAAGGACGATATCACCTTTCTTAGGACTAAAAGCACCAATTAAAGGGACTTCTTGAAGATTCAAAGAAGCAAGCTGTTGCTGTAGAGAAGCGACTTTATGATCCCCAACTGTCTGGACATAAAATTTGCCACCACCCAACACCTCAGTAACAATTACCTGGGAGTATCAATAGAGCAAGTGAGAAAAGCCAAAAAAAAGGTGCCTAAAAAACTTCATGTAACAAACCTTAAGCACTTCTTTCTGTTTGCTTTCAACAGCCACACCATTGGAAACTTCCTCCCCTTCAACATAATTCTCCCAAATCTGCAAAAACTCAAATCAGAATAGTGTTATACAGACACGGCTCGTTCACTTTTTTCAACTTCTAACCTTGAGTTTCTGCCGTTTTGCTGATCGTTCGGCTTGTTCAAGAAGGTGAGCATCAGGTATTCTATCACTGCTAAAGGAAGTTTGAATCCTAGCCAAGCCCGCCTCAACTAGAACCACTGCCATGTTGGTCCTTGATTCCCATAAGGATCCCAAAAAGGTTCCCGTTCTATCAACAGTTTCCACTTCAATCTGTGCAAATGAATTTGTTAGATCAATGGCACCAGAAGATTATACCACATATTGGAAGGGGGAAATACCTCTACATCTCTCTGCATTATCTTCCGCCGCATTAGAGCAATTGCTTCATCTGAATACGGCTCTTCCCGACCAGGACATCTAACACCTGAGAAAGAGAAGGCGATGCTACATGTCTCCTTCGGAATCAACAATTTGAAACGGTGACCACTGAGGACATATTCAACAACAGCTGGAATCCTTCTACTCCGGTGCAGGAATGGAAGGAAATCTCTTGATTTTTTGGCTGATGCCTGAAACGTACACACGGTACTTTGTGTTTATTTAACAACATAGTCGTCATTACAAACAATGGAAAGATATTAAAGAATTCAGGATAATGGTCAAGTTTCTTACCGCAAGAAGATCTGTTACATGCATGACAGGAGGATCCTTGGCAGAATGAATTCCTTTCTTGCCAGCAATAGCACGTGATTCAGCCGCAAGAAGGGCATCATAATAGTTTGATCTCTCTTCAAAATCACGATGCCTAATGACAGTGCCAAAACCACGTGATACCACTAGCTCAGCCACATTCACCCCAGCTTGTTGGTCACTACTACTGTTTTGAGCAGGAGAGGTGTCATCACCCTCAGCCTTAGTAGGAGACAATAGGAAGACAGATCCAAAATCCATCACTCTAGAATCTGCAGGAGCAGTTGTGGGTCCGTCCACCATGCTGACTTTCCTAGAATACTCCATTTGGACTTTAACCTAAAAAAGGAATTGTCATCTCATGTTACAATTCACTCCAGGTTCACCAGATACAGATAGTAACAAATATCATACTTGTCGACCAATGAGACGTGTTCTTAAGAACTCTTTTGCTTCACGGGCATAAGGAGCAGGTTTCTCATCCCTGCGTGGATTCCCCATTTTTGGACACCTAATACTTGATAGGTTGACCCGCCTCTCCGCTAGTGGACTTCCATATGGAACTGAATCATCAGCCACAATAATGCAGTCACCACTTACAACTTCTACCACCTGCAAATGCGAAGATAAGCAAACAGCGAAAGGGAAATAAAAGAAATCAAATAAGTTTACAATAACAGACCAATTGACAAACTACTACCTTCCCCATGAAATTCTGATCATGAATTGCCTTTGAATTCGTTGGTGGAGGTACATAGTTAGCCCATAATCGTAAACGGCTTTTCTTTGCCTGGAGCTCTGCAGACTTCAACCGCCGCTTGGCATCTTCTTCCATCATATTTGCACTCCATTCAACATACTTACCTAGACCCTGCATTTATGGGGGATGAAGATATACTTATACTCCTTTCTATATTTTAACAATATGACAGATCTCTTTCCCAAAAAATAAAAAATAAAAAAAAGACAGAATTAAGAGAACTATGCAGGGATACAAAATATTGAAGTCAGGCACACAAATACTAAAATTCAAATTTTGAAAATGAAATCAGGAATGCATAAGAAAGTGACACAATAACAGTACATTGAAATGTCAAACAACTTTGAATCATAAAGGTCTAACACCATAAGAAAAATTGACAATGAGAAAAACAAACAATTAGCTAAACATGGAACAAGAAAAACAGACTGGCAAATCGTATTTTTTAACATGAGAATATTCTATCCAACAACAATCATGCAAATGCAAATGAGACTACATGTGTACCTAGAAGATACCAATAAAGAAAAAATCTAATGGCTTACGTTTTCTACCAGCTCCAGTGCCAGGTCTTTCGCTGTTTCCCCATCAGAGTAGTACACTGACCCAATCAAATTGCTAAATTTGTCTACGCCTTCCAGCACAATCCGGACCTGTGAACCCATCCTGAATCAGACCAATTTAAAGAAAAACATGCCAATAAGCATCAGATGACTTACATCTCTATTCAGAACACGAATCTCTGTAAAATGTTTGGCTTCAACTCCAAACATTTCAGGAGCTACTTCACCAGATGATGCTGCAGAGACTGCAAGCCTTTGTGCAGAGGTTAAAGTGGCTCTTGGTTCAGCAGAAACATCACCATTAAGGTTATTAGATGAATTGTCCATTTCAGCAACAGTTTCAGGAGCTGCCCTTCTCCCCATTGATGGTGCCTGGGAAAGCAAAATAACATGAATACATAGCCATAATCCTGTAGTAAACTTGCTCTCAACTCAAGAGAAGATTGCTTCTTGACAGGCTTTCTTGTTCATAACATTTATTGTATACCTGGATTCCAGCAACGAACACTTGAACAAACTGAAACTCCGGAAGCAGGTACACCCGGATAGTACTGCCATCTCGAACCTGCTCGACAATCCCCTGCATCGGGGTACCTTTGTTAGCAGCTAACAAACCCATTGCATCCAAGTTGCTGGGATCCCCAATGGCTGAGGGTGGTAAGTTTCTAACAGATGCCTCACTAGCACCAGGAACCTACAGGAAGCAATAAGAGAGACATAAATTACTATTTTATAGCTCCTTTATGCAAAAATCTTCTACAAGATATACAAATGCAAAATATGTCCAACTTTCCAGCGAGAACACTGTATAAAGAAGATGGTGAAATATGTATTCAAAAAATGGTTTAATAAATTATTATTTAATATTACCAGTGTCCCTTATTTTCAAACATGTACTGCATTTACCATTTAGTGTGGCTAACATTGAAAAGAGTAAATTTTAAAATAAAAGAACCTATGAACCCCATGAATATCAAAACAGAAAGGCATAATAACAACTAATTCATGCCACTCATTTGAAATTATGTTTATCCACATAAAACTAAAGCTGAAATTCTACAGGCTCACATATAATTGCTTGCTTCGAAAACTCATCAGGTCAAAAAGAACCAAGAAAACATAACCAACAATATTTAGAAACAAAAAAAAACTATTTTGCAGGACCATAAATCGTTGCTTTTTCCTGAGCATTGAGAATCAACTAAAACATTCAGTTCGATAAACTTTGAACTTAGTTCAAAGTTATCATAGATTTTATAAAGAATTAAAGTACAAAAACACACACCAACAATAACTTCTCACTTGAAGTTTGAAAAGCACACCCAGTGGATGGGTTTGAGAAAACTCCTCAAGTGGACAAGAGACTAAAGAACAAGTAGCTCAGAATCAAACAAATCCCCTTTGAAATGAAAATTACAAGCACTGAATCCCCTCAAGCCTAAAGATGAAATATAAAATGAAGGAGTTCTTTGCAAATATAAATAAATAAATAAACCTTTTACCAATCCAATTATCTGCCCAAAAGTGAATACAAATCTCGTAAGTCGTACCCCCATCGATAGAGTAAAAAAGTCAATGTTACCAAAGTGAACATGGTTTTAGATGAGAAACATTGTATTAAAGAAAATCAAGTAAAAGAAGTTGGAAAGATAAGGCATCATCTCAAACTCTGAGGCCAAAGGTATTATAAAAAGAACTCCACACTTGGCATGCATTAAAGGATAATTCAAAAATAAATAAATAAATAACACCAGACAAAGAGTTCCATCTAGACAAATAAAAGAAAATCAAATCCTCCATGTCTTCCTCCATCTTTTACAAGTATTACAAAAGACTAGTTTTTTTCAAGCCAAATCACCCACAATATCATGAACCATATAATCTTAGCGTTTGATATGAAATAGTGTCCTGTTAAAGAGTTGCAAGGTAACCAAGACCTCATAAGAAAAACATCGACCCATGCAAAAAGTTTGAATAAAAGTAACAAAGAAAATTTATGTGTTAGAAGTGACGAATATCAATAAAAAAAATATTCTTCAATTGTTGATGAAAAGAAACTGAAAAATACTTCACAAACTTCCTTTGTCAATGTAACAAACAAGAATTTTCCTCAAGTATATTAATTACTTACTAGACAGGGATTCAAAAGTAAAGAAATATTCAATGTAGACTAGGACTTGGACAACAAATAATAGTATGGAGTGTCTAAGTAAGAACCTTGCTCCAACGTCCAAGACCTTGTTGCTTTGCTTGGTCTTCGAGACGTAGTAGTTCTGCTAGGTAAGGACTCACTTCACCCTTCTGCTGACCCTGCTCCCTTACCTAGGCAAAGAATCAGAAGTTAAAAAAATGGACAACCTTAGCACAGCTTAAGAAAGTACACACCTTTGCCCAGCCTTCGGAAACAACGAGTGCTGCAATATTCTTGTCACCAAGGAAAACAGAACCAAATTCTCGACCAATTGATGGCACAGTGTAGTCTACTTTAAATGCAACCTCCTACAGCAAATATGTATTGTTACACCACCACAAGATAAGGAATCTTATCGACAAAATAATGTGCAATATTTGTGCAATATATGATACAGTCCACGCAATGATTGGACAAAGAATGAAATCATTGTAGAATAATCACCTGTCCTATGCATAGCTTCCGTAAGTATTCTCTGCTATCCCATGCAAATGGCTCATCAACACCACCTCTTCGAGCCTGCATATGTCCAAACATCCAAAGAAAAATAGCACATTGTCAGTGTTTCTTTAGTATAACATTGACTAAATTTACAGATACCCAAAGAAGTTAAAGTCAAAAGAATAAGATAAAAAATTGTCTTGTTATTTTCATATATACTATATATTATTAATCAATTTATCCAGGAAAATGTCGACAGTACTTACCTTCCCAACCCTTTGAAATTATAAACCCTAAAAAGTCCGGAAATGGTATAAACAACCTTGCTAAGTGCACGTGTACACGTACAAAACAAGCATTCATGCATACAAACAAGTCACTTCTCACATGAAGAAGCCTTTGAGCATAATGGTAAAAGAAGGAATTGGCGCTAGCTGAGTCTGCGACTACACTTACCAATCTTGGAGCGATCAGAGAAGATAAAGTAATGGTCTTTTCAGGAGGGGGTCCCGGTTTGCTGCTGGCCATGGCCGTAATTACCAAGCAGTCCCCTGATGGGACAGCTTTCACCCTGCCTCTATACCATCCAGTGGCCGCCCCAGCTGTTGACGATGCCATCTCAACAGCTCAGATAAATCTATCCACAAGAAGTACAAAATTAGAGACGAACTTAGAAGTTATTTTAGTATGAAAGAGGCCCTGTTTTGAGACCGATCCCCACCACAATATTTTAGAATTTGAAAAGTAGATACACCCGGCGGTGTATGCAAGCCAAACCCGGGAGAGACAATATGATTGAGAAAAACATTGAGAGAACAAACTTCGATATCGAATCATTTATTTATGACAAACAACGGGATCTCAGACATGAAAGAGTAGTTAACGACATGCATAAGACGGATTGAATTGCAGCACTGCCATAAGACGTTTGTAGATCAGATCTATCCAACGATCACATGAATTGCGGAAGGTAATTGACACAAAATAAGAGTTCGGGATGAATACATTGGTGAGGGCGAAAGAAAGAAATAAAATCATCCAAATCAAAGCAGCGGACCCAGAAGATCTCCAATATGAAAAGGGATAAATGTTCGTGGTTGTACTTTTACATACACTTACGTGGATCGGATCGGAATCCTCCTGGCTCGGATCGGAATCCTCCTGGCTCGGATCTACAGAAGCAACGATATCAAGCCACCGTCACCTTGAATTTTTTGAATAATTAAGAAAATTGAAGGTTGAAAGCAATGGCAACAGGGAGTTTTCGGTCGAGGAAAGGCGATGGGCGGCGGATCGAGGGACAGAATAAGCGAGAGAAGGGGAATTTATATACAAGGGAACCATGGAATCGAACTTGAGAAATCGCCTTGTTGCTGCCCCCTGTTTTGGGTATAATTACTTTCTATACCATAAATAAGATAGATGAGGATCCTCTGTTTATGCACAGTCGTGCTGGTAAAATCATAAGCATCCATTTCAACATAGAGAAAATCGATGGTCCAAAACTAACCATGATATTCTATTAATAGCTACGTACTATCATTCAGCCTCCAGATTCTAAACAAATGAATCTTTTCTTCTCCTCCTGAGTATCATTATTGTCTAATTCTTACTCTTTGTTTGGGTAAAAAAAAAAGTTTGGTTTTAAATTCTGTAATTTGGAACGAGAGTAATTTAAGATAAAATAAAATAAATTCCTTTGTTTAGGCGTGAAGAAAAAATAATAATTTTACTAATTTAAACTTTTAATCTAAATTTATTAATTAAAAATTAAAATATAACGAAGTTAAATAGGTAACTTATTTTGAAAACAATATTTGAAATTCAATACTATCTAAATCATTTACAATCGTTAGCAAAATTATATTAGTCACCAAATAACATAATTCATTTGAAATCTACCATTATTTTGAAATCCCTCAAAATCTAAATAGCATTATGTGTCAAATAAATAAAAAGACATTATTTTTTCCAAGCAGCATTCATGATTCGAGATTAAAAGGGAGACTTTGTAATATACTATAATATATTATATTTTGTTCAAAATAAAATGAGTTTATAATATATTTATGATTGAAATACAATTGTTGTCTACTATTTTTTTTTCATTTTATTTCATGTACTTTTAAAAATATTAATTTTAGTATCTAAACTTTTAAATTTGGTTATTTTGAAAATGTTTATTTTGATTCATATGCTTTTAAAAAAGTGATCATTTTAGTGACTATTCGCAATATTTTAACACAAATTTTACATATAATTGAAACTATTTAATATAAAGTAATGTTTACATTGTAATAAATATATTGATGTAATATGGTGTTGATATTGTGATAGAAAAATGATATTTAAAATAAAATGAAATAACTAAAATGATCAATTTTTTAGACTACGATAATCAAAATGAACATTTTTCAAAATACAATTGCTAAAATGAATAAAAGTAGAAAGTACAATATCAAAACAAATATTTTAGATATATAAGAACTAAAATAAACCAGAAAGTACATGGATGAAACTACTATTTTAACCTATATTTATCTAAGAGATACTGTTATAAAAAAAGATTGGAGTCCTACTTTTTAAAATAGGACAAGAACCTAGAGCTGCAAATACCTGTAGTCGGAGCTTGGATTGTCAAGCCATATATACAGGAGTAGAACAATTGAAATGTAACAGTACTATAGTTGTATAGAAATAAAAATTAGTTAAAAAAACAATTCAAACACAGTTCAATCATAATTACCGTATATTTCCAATCATAAAGTTATGAGTTCAAAGCCCGCGTCTCTACATGTTGTACTAAAAAACCAATTCAAGTAAAATAAAAACAATGTAGATTCATACATCCTCTGAGACAAATCATTATCTCAAAAATACCATTAAATTTTGTCATTTGTTTAAAAACTACTCCTACAAGTCTCAATACCACCCTTGCATTTCATTAATGTTCAAAAAATAATCTTTCATGATTAATATTTAGAGCATAAAGTTGACATGAGATAATTTAGAACAATGCGTCAAAAAATCACGGGTAGAAACAATAATAATAAACTCACAATCAACCACATCAATTATAACATAAGCTTTCTGCTTAATATGTTTGTTCGATATTTTTGAGACGTTTACGGAATGTAATATTAGTGCTATTAGACATTTTAAAATAATAGAAATATTTTTTAAATAAAGTGTAAGGTTTAGAAGATTTTTTTCTTTTCTTTTCTGTTTTTAATTTAGCCTTATTTTTTTAAAGCCTAATCTCATGGTTTTAGTTTCCAATTTTAATTTTAAAAATCAAAATTAGAATATAAACAACTAAATATTATTTTCAGAATATAATCCATTTAATTTATTGGATCTAAATATCATATTATCAAAGATTTTGAATGGGTAATGTTGGGGTAAATTTATCAAACAGCTTAAACTATAAAGTATTTTTTTAGAAAATCATCTTTCAAAAGTATTTCATTAAAGGTTGCAGTAAATGGTGCACTATAGGAAGTTCTAAAGGATGTATCAAAAAAATACACTAAAGTTGCACTAAAAATGCGTATATATGTTGGCAGAACTATTTTAACACGACATATGGCTGAAAAATAGAGCGATCATGTGTGTTGTGCGATCTTCGCATAATGTAGCTCGTACACTAAAAGCCGTCCATAATTTAAAATAATGAAAATAAAATAACACAGAAAATAAAAGCCGTCCATAATTTAAGGAAATTCATGTGAGAATTT